CGAGAGGAAGCCCCAGATACCCTGCTCCTACGTCCATCTAGCGGGGGTTTTTTGACCGGTAAACTGCCTCTCACCGTGAGTATTTGCTGGAGTGGCCTCTCCAGGGGTGGGTGTGGATAGAGGAAGGAAGCCAGGAGGTGCCCAAGCAGCTGGCCTTATGAAACCGGTCTTCGTCTGGCCTCAACCCGTTGATCTTTCAGGCATGATTGGATCTACGGCTGTGAGAAGCCATCCTGTGTAGCTATCCGGTCATGGAGGTGCGCACACCCCATTACCTAATCAAGCAATCGACCACCGTTAGAAACGAGTGAGGGTGACTGGTAAGCTTCGTCTTAGTTGTTTTGAAACTCTGGTCTTGAGAGAACTCCCCAAGTTGAACCACCGGTGGTAAATTGAATACTTATGTGTTGAACCGTAAACAACTATACAAACTCACATGCAAACGAATTTTAGGAACAGACAAAAACATTCCAAACAGAAAGAATATGAAAGAACCCAATGAACAGACGAACTACGTGGCGGAAGAAACGGGGTAAAACAGTTTATGACCAAAACACCATAGGAGCTTATCTGCTCTGTACCTGGCCCACAAACTCACAGATGATCAACAAATACAGTCTACACTAGACAAAATTTATAGTAACCGTTTCAAAAGTGCAACGTTACGCCGCTACAGGACACGACGCAGAAACAGAATGTTCATACTGCAGCAGTTTATAAGCGATAGCATTGTCATAGCATTGTTGTCACCATCTATTCACATAGACAAATGCGGTCAGTGTTAACCGATGGAAGAAACATTGAAAAACCTCACTGATTGTTTGTTTGAAGGCTCACCTCGGACCTGTTTCTCCGATCCCGAAACACGATACAGACCAACGGTGTTCATACCACGTGCGACCACCTCGGTCACGCAGTGAATTATGAGAGCCGGAATTCTCGGAAATTGATCTTCTGGGCAAAAGTCAGTCAGGTTGATATTCCGTATCCCCAAACGGACGGATAGTGTTGGGCTTGTAGGAGCAACAACTGGGCCCTTCGGCCTCGAACTGCTAAATGGAGGAGCCGGTACCAATGCTTGCGATATGACCGCACTGGAGGCACCATACCGTGGTGATGTGACCCAATCACGACAATGAGCAGTGGGCAACGGTGTGCGAGTGGCACTTGGCGGGACACATGTTTGTGCGAGCTGCAAGTGATTTGAACGAGAAGCGTGTGTTAAGTATAGCGTTAACTTCAATAGAACTATTGGGAAAACGACATATTACCATTACTTACTCCTTTTTTACATGATGGATGAACTAACAAACGGCAAACCGTACACTTGTACGCGGTTTTGCCGAAGGCTATGCGGCGACCACATGCGCTGCACATGTCCATGCGCAAGATTGAACGAGAGGTGAAATTATGGGGTCGATTCAAGCGATTCAATGTGGCAGGTTTCTGAAAAACAATAGATTGCAATACACAATGAGCACAACAGTTAATGGCGATTAACTTGCACGTCCAGTGAAATGACTGCATTCCATCAAGGAAGAAACTAGTGTCGATATGTATTATGGCGAACAAATTATAACTACCAACGAATGTTATTTTCACATTAAAAACACAAAATTTAATAAGTTCCAGGTAACTCGTATCCTTCAGTCTTGTGCACAGACTGCAAATGTACCCGAATGATCAAGAACAATTTGAAAACAAGCATCTGCTATTTAGGTGTTAATAAGAAAAGTTGTGTAGTATTGCAAATGCGTGCAACCGACGACCTTTCAGTTCAGGGATTTTGTTGATCGCGATCGGCAATCCGGAGTAAGTTGATGGCCCTCTGGGCGCTTCTCAAGGGACGGGCGCGGGCGGTATTGGATACCGCGCGAAGATGGAGTGGGCCACCCTGATCGTCGGTTTTTACACCCCGGTCGACCGCCAGAATGCGTTGCGGAGCTTCAGAATGTCACCGCTTGGAGTTGGCACGGACCCCTGTCGCATGTCGTGGCTCTGCGCAACCTGTGGGACCGGGCGCTGACAACTTTGAACGAGGCAGCTCGCTCAAAATTTTTGCTGCAGTTGGAGAGTCTGTCGGACGATCCATTCACACGGGGTCATGGATGTATTCACGCTGGTCGAAGCCGTGAGGCAGTTAACTGATCATGAAGCTGCGACTTTCCGGACACACGAAGTCCCAAAACGACAACCCACGGAGGATGTTACGGAAGCCCTGAAAAAGCTGATAGAAGAAGTGGCAGCACTGAAGTCAAAACTGCGAAGTAAAGAGGGAACAGGAATGTATGCTTGCAAAGCGACAAGCTGGGTCACTGGCGGAGGAATTGCCCAGAAAGATTTAGTACACGTTCTCTCGACATACGGTTTGTTCAATACACGCCCGTCTTCCCGAACAAAGCAATCCTTGGAGCAATAGATCGCAGCGCAATCCAGGCTCATTTGCAGATATGGAGTGAAAGTAACGAAACCGACTCCGTGTTGAAAACAATCAATCAATCATTTGTCATATCAAAGACACGAGTCAGACTATACTGGGAGCAGATGTATTGCGCGGTTTGGGGGCTGTGGTCCATCCGAACAGACGGCTCGTTAAAAAACTGAAACGATATATATGCACAGGTAGACTGTGTACTCTGTGTTGATCATAGAGGTTCACTTTCTTTCCCTCACTCAAAATAGGCCCAACCTCTGTCTACTCTACACGTTGCTATCAACTTTGTATGCATTACGAGTTTTGGCAGCGATCATTGAAGTTCGGTTCACTGTATTTCGCTGATTTTAACCTTTCAACTTATGAAATACATTACTTCCATGAACCCATTATTTTTTCAATCTTCCTTGATCTAAATCGGCTCCCATTCGATCCACTTAATCGTACTCTGGTATGGATTGTATTTGAAGGATGGGCCGGAAAAGTTTACTTAACAATTATGATTCTTTTCAAACGAATAGCTGAAAGCGAGTGCCAGCTCATGGTTCTCGTTATTCCGATATTTTTTTATTAGGGAGTATATATCAAAGAACCCGATGTATTACATTTACTATGAAGAAGTATTGGACACTGCTTTAGACAGCTACATTTTCTTTGACGTATTTGTCATAGGTTCTATCAGATGCATAAAACGGATGCCACTGAGTGCAACAGAAAATGACGGGGCATTTGACCGATAAAATATTCAACTCACGGGTGTGTTCATCGGTTTTAAGGGAGTAACGCTATCGTTCGAATTAGCACGATTGGCCACAGTTGAACTGTCTTTCCTGGTTGAAGACGGTTCAACATTACGGACGACCGATTGGTGCGGTGGTAAGGCAAAAACACTACGCTTTACTTCTACTCCGAAATAAGAATCGTCCGACTTATCAGAATTTCTTTTTCTAGAAACTCTTCGCAGCTAGAAAGACGAAAAGAAAGTTAAATAAACTCCAGTAAGATTACGTTAAATTAGTGACAGTATCACAAAAAAGCTTCCATTTCGTGTTTTTCCTTTTTAGCAATCAATCGAATAAGCAATTGAGGTAAACGGTATGATACCGCCAATGTGGATTTTCAAACAGATTTTGCAAAATGTGTGAGCCTCTGATTCAGCAATACAACCGCAATAGTTTAGAAGAAAAATGTGTTTACGTTTCTTTTCCGCGTGATGCATTACCAGTTTGAAGCAGAATCCGCGGCGGTCAGTCGGTCTAAAGACGACAACGGTACTCAGGTTTTCATTGCAAATGTTTGTGAGGAACAGCAGTGAAGAAGACCGACCAATCACTCATGACATCCAGATATCTTGGGGAACCATTTAAGCCCCCCAATACGACAGTGAAGATTGAATCTGTCCACTGTTCATAACCATCGTGTCTGGGAACCGAAATGATCAAGAGGCCACAAAATGAAAACTTCGTCAAAAGCGACAAACGAATGTTGCTTCAATCCAGCAAAAGGCAAAGACCACCATATAATAAACGAACCACTGTTATACGTATCACCGCTGTCTTGCGGGTCAGACTATTGAGTCAAAGGCGCCGGTTAGGGTTCCCGAAGAAAAACCCCTTCGTCTGTGTGAGCTACTGCGAAGTATGCCGTGCCCTAAAGTCTTGGGCATCCACTTGG